ATCAATCGCAGAGACATAAGATTCGTTTGTAAGTGGTAAGTTATTTATAATTTCTAACGGTTCTCCCTTTAAATATTGCTTGAGGTAATATAACTTTTGAACATTTGATAATTTTTTATCTTGATGAATTAATGAATCGAATAAATCCTGAAATGATCGGTAGTTCTCTATTTTACCATCAAAGGTAGCAATATCTATCCGTGGCAATTTTAAACAACTCGATGTAGATGCCACAGAATTTTGAGCATCTACTGATGCTTGGTTTCGTGATAATAGTTTCTCTAATTTTGTAAGCAAGTTGTAAAAACGTAGTTCAAATTCATCACTGTCGTCATCAGAGTCGTCTATACATAGAATATCATGTTGTATGGTTTGAAAATTTGCAAAGGATTTTTCTAACATTTTCTTACGAATTTTAAGAGCGACTATGTCTAGCTCCATACTATCGAGAGTATCGAGATATTTTTCAATATTTGTAAGCGCTCGTTTTTGCTGTCCTCTAGAAATTCGCAATGATTTTAATGTAAGAGAGTCATTGCTTACTTGTGTTACTGCTTGCGAACTGCTCGAGCTCTCTTGCGACTGCTCCATATCGCTATCATTTAAAATAGATGATTCCTCACAGTCCATTAAAAAAGTTTCGGCACCAATATGTATATGCAGACCCGTGTAAAGACTACTGGGTTTTTGTAAGAAATTAATTAAAGATTTTAAATATTTTATATTATAATTTTATTATATTTGTGTGGTTTGAAAACAATGAAAAAATGCAAGTGACAATGTCAAAAAAAAGTAATTCATAACTTAAATAACAAAAAGGTTTTATGTCGTAGACAACTTTTATATTGATAGTTAAAGCAATTCGTGCAAAATTAAAACGTTAATAATCAAGTTTTCACATCTGCCGGCACTCCCGGAATGCAACCGGTCGATTTTTTTTATTTAGATCGAACCTCCTTGGAAGCGCTTTTAATCTATATCTTTGTCTCATTTTTATACTCTAAAGAAAAATATATGAAAGATGTAGTTCTAATTTTGACAACAAGCATAAAAAAAGAAAAAAGAAAGCGCCATTTGGAAATGCACGCCATTTAATTAGTAGATATAGTTTGCTTATTTACTTAAATTCCAATTCAACTATATTAAATAATTTTATATTACAATATTTTTTTAAATGGAGTTTAAAAAATGTTTATCCACTAATAAAATACTAAGATAACAATCTAATTACATAATTATTCTATATATATACTAGAACAATAAAACTAAAAACCTTAAACAATAAAATTAATAACTAAAATATATTATTAAAAGGAGTCCCTTTAGGCAAGGATCCGAAGATACTGGCAGCGTTACCCCTTTGAATGGCTAGACTAATTCTTTGTCCGAGGTAGCTCTTCGGTCTCCTGTGATGTGGACTAACCTTTTTGCTATTTTCTTAAATAACCTTAAAGCGCTAGGACACCACGGACCAAGGGTCTCGACACCGAACACCGACACCGGGACAAAATCATAAATCATTTACTTAAATTAGATATAAGGTACTGTTTTCTCGCAAATGTGTTGAAATATGCGGTATGTATGACATTCGTGCGGATTGGTATTTACAAACTTGTACCTATGGTAAGTTACATTCGTTTACTCGTTTGCAATAACCAACTGAACGCACTAATATCATAAATAACTATTTATGAACGCTTGAAGTTTTCAGTGTACATACTTATATCTGAACTTGACTACGTAACGTGATTTTCTTCCAAAAAAAATGGATGCGTGTAACATATGCACGCGCGTGAGAAGTTATACTTCTTTAGCATCATTAAAAATATTTTTTAATTGCATACAAATAATTAATAATTACAATAAAATAATAAAAGGACTGGAAAAGGATAGTTAACACAGTCAATTAAGTTCAGTTTTAATTTGAAAAATTAAATAAATATTCAAAATATTCAATTAAAATCACTACTGAATTTAAGTTATTAATCCATATGTAATTAGCACTTGTAAGTAACTAAAACACGTTGTGTCTATATAGAAACTAGAAACATGTGGATAAATATTATAAATATGAAAACAGTGATCAGAGGCGACGAGCGTGCCAACATTGTTTTTGACAACGCGATCATCTTATGGAGCTCCGTGGATCGTTCAAAGTACCTTTCGAACAGATGTCTAATAATGGTGGATTATTAACCACTAAGTGGTTAATAATCCACCATTATTAGACACTAACATTCATAACGCGCCCGCGGCCAACTTCATGGTGTTACTATTGTGTTACAGTGATGCGCGCGCATCTCGAAATTTCACTCTCATCATTTTTTCATAACGCGCCTAAAGAAGTATAACTTCAAAAATATGTAAATATCATTCAAAATTCAGTTTGTAAATTAATTTTGAATGATATTTATATAATACGATACGAATTACGATACTTTACAGAGCTGTCAAAAACGCGTACTTTAGCCTTAGATTAAAACAAAAAAGGTAGATACGGCACTAGCCTCACAAAAGTGATCCGCATAAATTGTGGTCCACGACCCTAATCGCTTTAGTCACAACCAAAGAGTAAAGTAAGTATACCAAAGGGTTACAACTTGACATGCAAATGACGTACATGTGAACGCCAAAAAGAAATATTACTAATATTTTGTGTTTATATGATAAAACAATGCCTAAGTGTGTTTTTAAAAAGTGCTCAAATTGTTCAAGAACTAAAAATAAAACCCTTTCATTCGTAAGTACTATAAAATATATTTTTTCATAAAAATTGCTGTTTGTTTTGAATCTTATTCGTTAGTGACGTCGAGTACTGGTCGTGTGATTGGTCGGTAGTGCAGTGACGCGGATCTCGCCGTCTCGTTCGCGCTGCCGTTGAAACTTAACGTACTGTTTCGTTCGGGTCGGTAATGCAGTGACGCGGATCTCACGTCCCGTTCGCGCTGCCGATGCCGTGGGATCAGTTTTTGTTTAATGCAAGTATGAGCGTACCGTATCTACCCTTTTTGTTTTAATCTAAGACTTTAGCCTCAATCTTTGCCTAAGATCAGGAAAATTTCACTCCTGAAACAAAACCTTATTCCTTAATTTTTTATTATATAATTTTTAAACTACCTAAAATACTTTTAAACAATAAGTAAATGCGGACTAAGACCTGATATAATTGGTAGGTATTAATTCGTTTATCATGCAATATATCCCACTTCAGGATTTATTTTTACGACAAACGTAGCCTTTCTATACTCATGTATACAAACTCATTTTCGATATGAGACCCTAAGACTTCGTTCGCGTTAGGTTTTTGGGAAACCCATCCCACAGGAACCCAACATTTTACTGGCATTAAAGTAACTTTATGTCTCAATCCAGGTAATAAACCATATGTACTATATTTATGCCGAATTTCATTCAAAACCGTTCAGATGATTTTAATTTTCTTACCGTCTATCTATATAATTCAGGTATTCTATACAATACCATTTTTTATAAAATACCTAGAAAATATATAAAATGCCTGGGGCGTCTAGGCTAGGCTATGTATGAAATATTATTTTACCATTTCAAACTTCGCCTAGGTATACTTATACAATTCTTATTATTACCATCGAGTAGCAGGTAAAAAAGCCGATGACACGAGGGACGAGGCGAGATTACAAGCTGCTAGCAAACTCGCTGGCTTGTAGCTTTGAACCTCGCCCCGTGTCATCGAGGCTTTAGGGATTGTATAGAATACTGCTCTGGTCCACCGACAATGTGTAAAATAAACAGATTTTGGCCTGTATTTACCCTTACCAAATCTGACCTAACCTACCAAAATGGATATAAAATGACAGACGGGTATTATAAGCGAACGGGCCACCGGATTCTAAATGGTCACCATTGTTCATGGACATCAGCAATGCCAGTGCCACACCTAGGCCGCTGCCTTTCGTGGAACACTTTATTTAAGCCTCTCTGGAAGAAGAACATGTTATATAGTATTAAGCTATTAAGGGAACACCGTGGAGGAGAGCTCATTTCATAATTTTATTCGTCCGTGGAATAAAAGTTCTCTGGAAACGAACAGTTATGGACTATATAGTGTTTCCAGGTAATATGGGTGAACTCGACTCCGGTGACGGGTTACGACTGGTAAAATGGTGCTGTGGGTATTAACCGGAGCAATTCCTCGGAGCACTCACCATGAAAGAGCCTGTAGATTACGCACTAGCAACCAAACTCCCTGCGTAGTTCTAAAGCCTCTAAATTTTCCGCTAGCTTGGGAGCATCGACAATCCGAATCGCGCGTCTTTTTGTAGAATCGATACCTATGTATCTATGTTAGTATGTACGTACCTACCTAATAAATAAATAAAACAAAGAAAAGTCGACACGCTATCTTCTTTTACACACATTCCCAACTGCGAATCCGGCGTTGTATAGAATATCTAATTTTTCATACATTGCCTTGACATTATAGGCATTCTATACATTGCCTAGGTATTGTATAGAATGCTGTATTAGACAGATTTCCGGTAGCATATACACATAAAATTCTTAATGTTGAAGTGCAAGAACTCTTTTTAACGTTCGTCGGCCTGTTATTGCAACGGCAGCGATACTGCTTTCTGCGCCAAAGTTCCGGATTCGTATCCCGGTAAGTAAGTGCATTTGTTTGCTGAATATTCGTCTACATGTCATTTATATTGAAAAATAGTTAAATATGTATTGCATACGTACGTTATGTAGTTTTTGTAGCACATGCTTAACTAAGTCTGCTACTGAATTATTACTATGATGCGCTGATGTCGGACAAATCGTCCGGAATAAAAAAACTTGAATCAGTTTATATAAGTACCTACCAACCTATTAGTATTTTAGTATACCTACCTAGATTTATTGCGTATTCTTGTCTGACGTGAACCGAGGGTCCCTCGCATCGACGACTTAAAAGATATTTATCTCAATTGCAGCATGACAGGAAGGTTCAAACACACTGACGCAAAAAAAAGTCAAAGAAGATTGCAAAATTTATTGTCATTACAGAGTATCACAAAATACGCACACATAATATCACACTGACGCAAAAATAAGAAAGTCCAAATAAGATTGCAAAAATTTAATTGTCACATTAAACAATATCACAAAATCGATAATAATACCAAGTGTATTCTACAATCACAGCATACGTACGTCCTGCGTTTTAAACGATAAAAATATTAAATAAATCTTATATCACTACAGTCTTACAACTAAGTGAATGTAAAGTTAAAAAATATCACCACTCAGATTTAAGTCCACTATGTCCACAATAGGGCCTAAACGAGTACAAATGTACGACAATGCTCGTTTGCTATAGTTTATTGACTTGTGTACAGTTGGCATTGAAACTAAATGACTCGGCCGCCCATTATATCATCAACGGCTGTCCATCGGGCCAGCTAGAGCCTGCTGTATGACGAGCTGCTGGGCACTTATTAACTTCTTTAATTCCTTTATTTCCTGAGTCAATTGGCGCACACTCTCGGATGTTTCGTCAAGACGGGCCTGGATACTCCCTAGCCCCGAATAGCCGTACTCTCTGTACCCTGAGTCATTGTTATTTTCATACTTTTTGAAACACGAATATGCACCGGTAGTCGAACCATTTGATGAAATCGTATGCCCGTATTGTTTTCTCATCTTAGCAATGTCATATGCCGCCATCATTATGTCTCTTGGTAACCTTTTTTCTGAAGGATTTAATGGCTTCACGCTTAAAACTACTCTGTATGCTTGCGGCGAAACCAGCGCCGAAGAATGGAGTATCTTTAGCAAACATTTAGGTAAATATCCGTTAAATAAAGCCATTTCCATATATGATATCAATTTTGTTTGACGAACGAGCTTAGAGAGTCCCGCTGTTTTCCTCAAACCTTGAATGTCATGAACTGCTATGCCGACCAGTAAATTCATCAATACTACTGTGACAAACAAGAGAAACAATACGTATGTGACTTGCGCAGAAAATTCTAAGAGAACAGGCGGGTCATTTCCGTCCGGCTCATTCAGTAACAAATCTAGGTTTAACTCCCCAATCATCATTGTCAATACGGTTATAAAACCCATAAACGGATTCGCGAAGGATGACGAGTCCGGAAATATGACACAGAAACTTATTGTGAAACCAATCAGGATGCAAGAGTAAGCCATCAATAATTTCGCGAATTCCTTTTGCACTTTCTGATACATAGCAACGTAGGTCCCGAAAACTGGTAGTTGACCGATCATCATCATCAAATTTGTCCAACCAGCTAATACAGCAAAAGCACCAACGTGATTCTGCCATGTGTATGTTATGTTCGTGTAAATGTATGATATGAGAAAAACGCTTATTATCACAAACCATTCTATGATGTTTTCTGATTGCATCAGGTATTGTTTTACTGTAGAATAGCCGGCAATACCGTAAACCTTTCTAAATATTTCAAAAATGGTGATTCCAGCTAAAACACACCACTGCATTTCAATAACGAATGGGTTTTTCCTCAAAAGATCGCCAAGGATAGATTGTTTTTGACATAATTCTTGCTCTTGTATTGTTTCCTCCATATCTTTGCTTCCGTTGTAACAATTATGCGCTAGAGCGGTCAAAACATACAATGTCAGGCATAAAACGAATATGAAACTCAGAAAAAGGCGCGCTACGTAATATTTACGTATTTTCTCCCACTTTATATGAAGAAATGCGGAACAAAGTGGATGCAATAACACTTCTTTTTGACCTTCATCAACAAAAGTATTTAGGTAACTTATCTCGCGCGGGTAACAGTGTTGAAGAATGCTGCGAAAATCAAGCTCGAGCTCAACCTCTCTATTGCTCGTTTGTGAATGGTGCAGTGTGATCGCACAATCCAATTTTCTTGTTATCATTGCAAGCGAGGCGGGCGTTTTTCGAGCGATTACGTTAAGAGCCGAATTTCCTTTTTTAGACCTTGTAGTGACGTCAGCACCGTGATAGATTAATGTCTCAACGCAAGCGGACAGTCCGTCCAATGCAGCCAAGTGTAGGGGTGTAAATCCATATTCATCCTTTTGGTTCACATTCGCTCCCCAACTTATGAGGGTTTCTATGATATCGCAAGCTGAATCAGATTTTCCTATAGCGGCGTGTAAAGGTGTACGCATATCAAAATCCATTGCGTTAGGCTCTGCATTTCCTTTCCTGAGTAGGGATTCTACGCACTCCAAACTTGCCGAACGAGCTGCCAAGTGCAAGGCTGTAAAGCCCCTATGATTCTTCAAACTGGCATCGGCACCTTTAGACAGTAGCAAATCGACGCAATCTACAAAACCGCCGTCTGCAGCTAAATGTAACGCTGTTGATTCTCTATCTCCGACTCTCGTTCTCACGTTTGCATCAGCCCCAGGATTTTCCAATAATATCGACAAGCACTGGGTCATACCCAAATCCGCAGCAAGATGAATAGCATTAGTGCCACCAGGCTCGATTTGATTCACGTCGACACCATGAGATATAAACAATTTTAGACATTCCACTGAATTCGCTCTCACTGAACAATGAAGCAAGCCACCTTCACAGTTGACGTATTTCACTGCAGCGTGTACTGATGCCCCGCGACTGATTAGTAAATTAGCCACTTGCACAGAATTTCCAAAAGCGGCGCAATGAAGTGGAGCGAAACATCGCGGCATATAATTGGGGTCACTTCCACACGAGAGCAGGTAACTTGCACATTCCGTGGATCCACTAAACGCGGCAACATGCAACGGCGACAGCCCTAGCGCGTCAAAGTATAATGGATCGGCGCCGGCTTCGATGAGGGGCGGCAGCAAATTAGCAAGCTTGAGGAATGCCGCCCAAAATAGACACACGTTTTTCTCCGCATCAGAGGCGGTGGAGAAGGTGCTGGTTACCGTTTCAGGTGTTATCACAGCAGTCTCCAGTTCATCCAAAAGGCGGAGGCGTCCACCTACGGCTCGCATTTGCTCATGGGCGCTCTGACGCAACGAGTCACCGCAGATATGCGCAGTTAGGTCCAGGGGTGGTTCTTCGAAGCTGTCGTACATGTTCGGTGCGCTTTCGGCGGGCGGTGACGAACCGGCGAGCACGTATTCCAGGTGTCCCATGGAGGGGAAGGCCCTTTCGAGGGATTCCTCATCTGGAGGTGGGCTGGTTTGGTGTTGGGTTCGCGCCGGGGAGCTGAGGACGCGGGCGACGCGAGGCCTGCGGTCCATGTCGCTGCGCGGGAGGGTCCTGGAGCGGATTTCATCGAGCTCCTCGGGGTTGGGGGAGCGCCGCGAGCGGAACCACCGCGGGGTGAGTAGTCGGCGCGGCGTGGGCATGCGGGCGGACGGCTCGGCACTGACTGCTGCCTACTGTGGCCGCCATTAGCCTCGCCGGCCGAGATGAATCGCGCGCACCTTTTTTGCGACATTAAAGCGCTTTTTATACGCTACCATATTTCAATGTGGCGATCGACCTAACTGCTGATTCACTTACCACTAAAATCAAATTATCGAATACAATAATGAATAGACAAATTAAAAATAATGAGCGTACAATAGATCTTTTCTATCTTTTCGTTTTGTTTACAAACATTTTACGATGATATCATTATTATGATTAGGTATGCAGTTAAATTAATCTCGGCCCATCTTGTTCAAAACACAGATAACGAGGTTAGTAATGTCAAACGGGCGTAATAAATTAAACCAGTACCCGCTAATGTGTGAGAGAACAGGCACCACAATAGTGTTTATTATCAAGGTTGTACGGTAATTTACTAGGTCTTGCAACAATTTTAATTAACATAACAAATATTAAAGATTACCTATTTACCTCTCTTGTAACTATTGAAGGTACCTTACTAACAATTATTATTATTTTTCAAAATTTGCACATGTTATAAAAGTTCTGCAGAAATCTGTAAATGGTATGAGGTAAATACCTAATTAATAGATACTGATTGAAAAATGAGCTCGATGGCGCGCGATGGTAAGCGGTCTGCGAGCTGAGAGACATTTGAGAAATAGGTATTTGAAAAACTATTGCTGTTTTCACGGCTTTGGCAAATACCGTGCGATAAATAAATATATTAAATAAATATTTCCGACACTCACACCAATTAGCCTAGCCCCAAAGTAAGCACTGTAAGGCTTGTGTTATGGGATGCTAGAGTAACGGATAGAATACATATACTGTACATATATAAGTATATTTATATAGAAATACATATTAAACATCCATGACTGGAGTACAAATGCTCGTATTCATCACACAAACATCTGCCCCCACCGGGATTCGAACCCGGGACCTCTCGAGTCGGCGACACCATGAAACCCGGCGTACAAACCACTCGACCACGGAGGTCGTCTAGAGGAGGCAATAGGGACAACAGTAGCAAAATAAAATAAAAACGTATAAAATTTTCGAAATTCGAGGTTTGGCTCTCGATGATTTCCTCCTCGAAAATTAGATATATGTAAAAGAAGTTTTACTCATAGAATAATAAGTAGTTATGCTAGACCTCTATGTTTTGCTTTTTTGTAAATGCTTATTGAATCTCTACACAAGACGTCTTGAGTAGTGAAAAAAAATGTTTATTTATGGCATTCTTGAGGACTTCTAGTTTATTTGAAAACAAGTTATCGAAAAAAGGAACATCGGAACATAAATGAGTAAAATTATATTTTATGTATGAAATTTCATTTCTTTAATGATAAAAATCTCCCTCTTGTTCGTGTTTTGGGTTCCTTATCGTATCTGGTATCCCTTATATAATGTCGTAGAATGATTTCATAAATCAAATTTTCGCAGAAATTCTAGAGATTTTGCGAAAACGCATATAGGTAATTAGATCATGCCCAACTTAGCACCAAGCTGATTAGACAGGTCTGGTTCAGCTAAGCTGTCTGTATAGCAGCCATTTAATGGCTCTTGTATTATTTTTAAGTGGTATTACAGGGTATTATAACCCTCCACAAGATATAGTCCGGATAGTAGCCGTGCAATTGTACTTAATAATAGTTTAAGAGGTATAGTGTATGTGATAGTTCTCTTGATCAGGCATTTGATATAAAATAATAATTATAAAATCTGTTGTAACTCTATTAGACCTAGAAGGTGACCTGTTAAGGTTTGTGCGGAGTTAAAAACCTCTCTTGTAACACTTTAAAAGCGCATACTGACAAGCCTGCCGCAGGGACAATCCAGGGTGTAAGAGTGGGGATGACCCTTAATTGCCTCCTGAATTGTGATGTGTGTAGGCAAGCAGGGGCAATTTTCTAAATCGAGCCTGCGGCAGGGTGGCAGGAGCGCGAGGTCCCTAGATTGTCCCTGCCGCCCTGCACGTTGCCGTGTGTGTAGCGCGATTGGGGCAATTTCTCAATCAGTCGGTTGGTAGCTGTCACACGGAGCGCACGTATTTCGATCGAGATGGCGGCATATCATAATGAGCATGAAATTTGGACACGAGTGATCGAAGTATTTAAAGACCGGCCCCACATGTGGGATAAAAAAAAGAAAGCTTATTTATATATATTTATTAATAATTTTTATTTTTTATGTAATTGAGCAGTTGTTTGAATCTAAAGAAAATATTACAAAAAAAAAATAAAAAAGAACTATTTATATTTATCTAGTAATATTTTATTTATATTTAAACATCGAGCAGTTACATACTTAAAAAATTAAAACTATAACTTTAATTGCTATTTCTTCTTTCAAATGTTTAATACTTGTAAAGTTATTTGACAGATAATGCGAAGAGATGGCGCTGCCTTGCAGCTTAAGAAACCCTAGAAAGAATTCGATACGGCCGTCAGGGCCGCGGTAGCATAATTAATCAGTGCCTTCGCCCGGATAGCGAAGGGTGCGGGTTCGAGTCCCGTCTGCTGCCAGATTCGCGTGGATTTTTTTCTAGTAATATAAACATTACTTATTTACAATACATTTCTTTCAGTTGCCTATTCTTCACCCAGTATTTCCTTTTTTGCGGTAACACCATAGAAAAAGCCAAGGCCCTGCCTACCGATCGTCTGATTTTTTGATAACACTGGGACCATCATGAACGCATGTGTTTAGCGCAACATACCCCCTAACGCTGAATAGAAGGCATGTGTGTAGAGACAAGCCGATATTGCCCAGACCGCCGTTCACCCTAGATTGTCCTTGCGGCAGGCATGTCAGTAGGCCTCTTAAGCAGTATAAGTCATGTATTCAGACGTGAAAACAGCCCTTGCCGAGTTTGGTGCCGATTCTTCTCAGCACAAGGTCTCCCGCCGTAGATTTAGAAACCGATAGCGTAGCTTTTCGACATTCACAAGTGCTTGACTGGATCAACGATATTGAATTTTGAATGAATTTTACGTTGTTATTATATTATATCGCCACTATGATAGTGAAGGTAATTTGGGCCCCAAAAAGGAGTTCCCAAAGAACTGGAGTACATATGTAATTGTATTTGTACCCTAATATACCACTATTGTAAACCGTTATTCACTACCTCACTGCAGAGAATCCTACCCTAACTTTACATCTAAAGCCCGCAGATCGTAAATTGTGGAGCATCACAAGATGCTAATAGGAGACGCCATTAGACGTTATTGTAACTAAAAATCACCTTGGATTTGTATGGTTATTTTATTGGCTCTAACAACAATTATTACTGTAAACTACATAACAAAACTACCACTGCCCAATAAGTAGCGTATAAAAACAATGCTCAGTGGTGAGCATGTATCATAAAAAAATATAATTATCTAAAATTCCATAAACAATAAATGTCATTTAATTGTTATTATATATAATATATATTTAATTCACAGTAATCTGGCACTTGCACTAATATTTTTCATTAATTACGATGACGCTTACGCTGGTAAAATCGATTTATTATAATATAAAAACAACAGTAACAATACTGTCAATTATCTTGACATGTTTTATTCGTCTCTCTTTCACATAAAACTTCTATACTAAACCAGTTATAGATTTACAAAGATGGTAAACAAACATTAAAAAGGAACAAAGGTATATAAATAGAGGCAAAGTTGTACAGTCGCACTATAACAGCTTCTTAAAACTAAGGAAGTATATTCCTTCACTCTTAAAGAGCGTTATATCGCCACATTATAACGTTTGGACGGCCACTATAGAGCGCTTGTGGAGTAATAAGCTGTATAATCTGTGCCCAATTTGAAAGTACAAGAGCTCTGTAGCCGCTTATACAAATACTCTAGTCTAGAGCTTCTTTATACAGCTGAAGCCGTTGCCAGTTTCCATGAAACGGCTGTTATATGAATGTTTTTATACAGCCAGTTGGATGGCGATGACAGCGCTCAATCACACGGAAAAGAATTACAAGAGGGTTCACGTAACTTCCCTCAACAATATTAAATAGCCTAGATACAAGAACACGAACAAAATCATGGCCGAAACCTGTCCAAAAGGTGCATTGGACAATCCACGGAGCTCCGTACGATAATCGCGTTGTCAAAAACAATATAAGGCATTATTTAAACATTGAAAGTCATTTTAAATGCATACAGTATAAGGTCTTCATTTAAAAAGCATGCGTCAAAGATAATATAGACCTAATTTTTTTACTCTACGCGCAATTCTAAATGCGCTGTTAGCAATACAGCATGTACGGACCGCGAGGAAAAGATATTTCTCTATAACCGACCATATATTTTCTATTATATGTTTAAAGTATTAGAAAAAAAAATCAAATGCGTTAAATTAACAAACATTGATTAGATATCCTGTCGAAAACAACACTTTACGTACTATAAGTATTTTTTCGCATTTTTTCAGGGAGCTCAGCGGCATTTTGACTTTTTAACTATCCGCGCGTGACTATGAACCAAGAAGTGCTTGAGTAGAGTTCAAGCACTTCTTGATTGGGACACATTTTGAGCGCACGTGTATCTAGGGTTATTCATTATCGCTGGCATCCCTTCTCAATGTCTGATGCGCTCAGATTTTGTTTTTCTATGGGTACCTACAACTTAGAGGGTCGGCTATGCGCATTATCGATCTGGTGTTGAAGGCGTTTATAAATATCGTTGCGTTTATAGGATAACCACCAGCATCTTCCCATTTTGGAACGAATACTTAAAAGAGAGGTGGGGCATAGCGGCTTTTCCGCTCGAATTGGAGCGCCCGTCTGGGGCAGTAACCTACAGAAGATCACAGTGAAAAACACTACCTTTTGGTTGTGTTGTATTTCAGTAAGTGAGTAAGGTTTAAGGGCTCCTTGGAGAGGTAGGAGATAGGATCAGAGTAGGCAATACGATGCGAGTGATGCTATCACAAGCGTCTATAGATTTTCATCATCATCATCATCTCAGCCGTACGATTCCCACTGCTGAGCACAGGCCTCCCCCAAGGATCTCCACATCGACCGGTCCTGTGCCACGCGCATCCATTGACTTCCCGCGATCTTCACCAGATCGTCGGTCCACCTGGTGGAGGGTCTTCCCACCAAGCGTCATCCGGTGCGTGGTCGCCATTCGAAAACCTTTCCGCCCCAACGGCCATCGGTTCTCCTCGCTATGTGTCCCGCCCACTGCCACTTTAGCTGAGCAATCCTTCAAGCGATGTCGGTTACTTTAGTTCTCCAGCGGATTTCCTCATTTCTGATTCAGCAATCAGAAATCAGAAATTTTATTGCATTTCATGTGGTAAATTAGGTCTAACATTATTATAGGGTACAAACACA